TAAGGCAAGTCAACTTGAAAGCATTTTGGGAAAAGTTTAATGCTTAAATTATGAGCTTCTCCTTGTCACTTGCTACTGGCTTGGTGGCTCTCCTGCCTCGAAAGGGTTGACAGTCACTTTTGTTGAAAATGAGACAGTAATTGCCAAAATGTGCATGACTAGAACGGCTTTCTCCCAGCGGGGGCATGTCCTGTTCCAGTTGCTCCTTCTTCTCGAGAGGATGGGATGGAATGGTATGGCATGGTATGGGGGTCAGTTGGGTTTCTTCTTTTCGGTTGACGATAAGTCGTCGTCACTTGCATTACTAAAATTGAAACTTTGCACACTTTTATGTGGATGAACTTGGGTGCTTCGAGGGGAGGGAAACCCATAAATGTCACTTTGTAACGACGACGACAACGAGGACTACTTAAATTAAAGCATAATTAAATTAATAATCCCATTTGGGCGTGCAGCCAAGCATTTGAAGCTGAAGCTGAAGCCAAAGTCGAACTCGAACTCGCATTCGAACTCGAAAGCCTTGGCAACGAAAGTGTGAGAGTGTGCGTTTCGAGCGGAAGTTGCTGAATATGAAAATGACTGCGCTAGCGGAAGTGCAGCTGTGTGGCGTGCCACATGTGTGCCACGTCCAAACTAACCCGCAACCAATGTCTTGCCACATTTACAGTGGCCACATAGCACAGGTGGACGGATTGGGTGGGTTTTGGCACCACCCCAAACTAGTCTTTCGCCTTTGTTCCCACTGAATTGCATTACACTCTGGTGATTCAAAATATTCAGTTTCCTTAAAAACTCACTGAATGGCTTTAAACTTCTGTAATAATATTAGTAGTAAAAAGTTATTTTACCTTTTAATTTTATTGTAGTTGAGAAACACTCTGAAATCCTAAAATATAAACCGATTTGCTAAAGTTAGATAGAAAATTATACAAATGAACATTAAATATAATCGTCTGAATATCTATAACAAAATACATAAATAATAATAATAAAAAGAACATAAAATCTAAAAAAAAATAAAGAAAATAATACTGTGAAATAGTAAAAAAGTTTGTTAATTGCAAATTTGTCAACTTACAAATCTAAAAATATCCCCAAATAAATCTTATGTATTTCGGCAGATTTTGTATAATATTTAAATCGATTAAATATTACGCTACACATATCTTGATCAAAAAACCTGGCAGCACTACGACAGAATATTGAATTTTATAAATTCTCCAATACGTTTAAATTATCCCTTTAAGTTTAAAGCCCGATTTCTGTGCCAAACCCCTTCGGTTACAAAACATTTTCCATGAAATATTCACCTGTTCGCTCCGGCCGGACTCCTTTGCTAGCCCGTCCATTTGTTTATATTTCTTTTTTATGACGCTTGAAAGAATTTTTAATTTTCATAAGAGTAGCACACGCACGCAGAGACAAGGCCAAAAACAAAAACCCGGGGAATGACTTACATTCGGGACGCAGACGAGCGCCCAGATGTATGCTAGCTTAATTTTTATTGCCACAGCCATCCTGCACGCAAAGTGCTTGGCTCGGCGGCTTACGTTAATGTTTTCGGCAGAAGGTTGCCAAGAGTTTTAATGAAAGCTGCCTTCATAAATTTTAATCAACGTTTTCCACAGACGTTGTCTCTTGTTTCATAATATTCATAATTTTTTAGCTCCCCTTACCTTGAATAATATGTGAGCATGGCTAACAAAAAGAAGTGTTTGTTTGGATCGCTGAACTACACATGTCAGCCGAAACGAAAGTGGTCGATTATTTATAAAAGTTGCAACATTTAATGGTTGTTTGAATGGTTCAATGGTTCCTAAACAATAGCCACCTCGCCGGTCGGAGACAGCGGCGTTGGGGGAATTCTGGCTGCACAGGAAGTGCAACAAGCGTAATAAATGTTCAGCCATACAGGCCAAATAGTATGCAATAAATTTCGCAACAATCAACTTTGATGCATGTTGTAGGTGAGCGGCGAATAAAAATAAAAGCACAAAGCGTCCTTTTCACAACCAAAACAACGCATAAAACACAACATCCACCCCCCCTGCAGTTTGGCAAGGGGCGCTGCCCTAAAAACCGCACAGCAATCTACCCAGCATACATCACTTTTAGTCAGTTTATTTTTTATTTACCCCCATACCATCTATGTTTTTTTTTTATCAAACACAAAATGACAACCATAATAAAACGGAAAGGTACATAAAATAGACACAATAAACATGGCTTTAGTGCGAACCAAGCGATTTTGCAACATTTAGCACTGCCCCTCATTTTTTGTTCAATATTCGAATGGCAGAAGCGTAGTTTAAGATCATTTTTGGGGGAAAGTCAATCAGTACTTAACAATTTATTTATATTTACATTCAAAATTAAATGATAATGTTATTAATTAGCTTTCAAAATAACTAACTAATAAATTTAAAGGATATATTTTAAAATTTTCATAGCACCCCATTTTTAAAGCCTCTGTTTATATTTATACCCTTGTAGAGGGTATTATAATTTCAGTCAGATGTTTGCAACGCAGTGAAGGAGACGTTTCCGACCACATAAAGTATATATATTCTTGATCAGCACCAATAGCCGAGTCTATCTAGCCATGTCCGTCTGTCCGTCTGTCCGTCTGTCCGTCTGTCCGTCTGTCCGTTTCTATGCGAACTAGTCTCTCAGTTTTAAAGCTATCGCGATGAAACTTTCCCGAAAGCCTTCTTTCTATTGCAGGTAGTACATATGTCGGAGCCAGCCGGATCGGACCACTATATCTTAAGGCTCCCAAACAAATATAAGAAAATTCATTGTAACTTTGTAGGAAGTAGGCGTTTTGATTCTTGACTACTTAAAAACAAAATTGAAATAAATCGAAACACTGAATCTGGAATCCCTGGAACTGCACCGAGTGAGTATTCTTTTATCTACAAGGGTATATAAGCTTCGGCTGGCCGAAGGTAGCTTCCTTTCTTGTTTTTTACTATTGTGGAAGAGGAGTCATTAAAATGATTCACTCAACTGTAGCCGCGTTTACTCCTATATTTGTTTATTGACACGGTACATTTGTAATTTTTTTAAGAGCAACTGCACAGCACTTTCAACGATTTTAAATCATATTAAACATATAATAATTGAGTTTTTTGAAAATGAATAGACATTTTTATAATATTTTAATATACTTTGTAAATGTTCCTTTGAAATTAAATATTATTTATTAAGCAGCATTCTTTTTTACGTAATTGATAAATAAAAATTAAAGAGAAAACAGTTTTCTTATAAATTATAAATATTTTCCATTCATTCCCTCACTTTCTGCAATATTAAGCCCAGTATCATATTAAAAGAAAATACGATTTTGTAATTTAAGCTTTCCGCTTAAGCCTGATCAATACTGCTTGTATATGCACAAAATGCGGCAATAAATAATTAAACGATAATATTGCATATGAAAAACTCGTGTTTCGCAAATTAATTGTCATATTTCATGCAGATTTTAAATTTGCTTACCTATACGCACACACACTCACGTTCTTTAATACGTGTATGTGTGTGCATATTGAATTGAGGTCGTTGATTAATTGCATGGGAGAGAAAATTGAATATCGAAACTCAATATGATTAATTTCGCACATACGCACACAGTTGCGTATTTGAGCGATTTAAACGCTTAGAAATTCACACGCTGCTAACGACTCTCTCATGCTTCATTAAAAATGCTAATATGATTTTGCGAAAAGTATGAAATAAATTTTCAAAATAAATTATAAACCAAGCAAAACAAATCATTGGCTCTCAACTATGTCGCTCTAAATTATCGTGTGAAATAATAGTTATTGGTCAATTAAAAAGCGCAATAACACACGAATTCCCGTGTCCATAACTTTATGGTTTTCACTAGAGCCAAAATGCCAATGGCTGTCAAACAAAAATATTCGCATAACTGTTGATTTTAAATCCATTTTCCATGAGGCAAAAATCCTGAGCAGAAGTAGATTTTGTTTATGTAAATTTAATATTGTCTACTCATCGCTGCCGACTTGTGCTTCATTGTTTATTAGTCATATAAATATAATGTCAAAGTGAAGCCAGTTTATGGCCTTTTCCCACTCCAATCTCCAAAATGCTCCTCTGTCATTCACATTAGCGTAATATGCCGGAAAAGCGAGCCACGATATTTAATAGATGCGTGTGAGTGTTCCTCTTCCCTTTGGAGAGATTGCAACATTTTCGGGGGCTTGGGTTGGTGACTTGTCGTAAAATTTATATGGCTTTTAAAATCATATAAAAAGTGTTAATTTTCCATGTGTTGCTTCTCGGGAAGCCAAGTGGATGGATTCCGTGCATAAAAGCAAGGTGAATTGAGAACCTTTTTATGGGGCAATGAGGATAATGTGGGTTGCCGATTAAAGCGATGTGATGTGAGACAAACAAACATCATTTGACTTTCAAATTTATTGATAAATCTAAGATCTTACGACTCTGTTACGGTTAAACCCCGGTCCCCTATAACCCAAAGGCGCCATAAAAGGGCGTAACAAGTAAAGGTTTTGCTAAATAAACATAAAAGTTTCTAAGCCCCAAGAACTCAAGTGTAAAAGCACTAGTTTGGCCTTTGAGCTCATATATATTGCGAGGATGTATAACAAGTTATTTAAACTTTAATCCCAAATATTATATCTTTTGAAAGACTTCTTGTTTTTCGTAAATTTTCTTTAAAAGAGCAGAAAGAGTATTTCGAGGCAGATTAAGATATGAAAGTAGCAAAAATACTACTTGCCACCCTTTATTTATTTGCTCATATCTTTTTAATGAATTAATAATAACTGGTATAAAGATTCCAACACACATTTAATAAAAATTCCGAAATGTTTGTTTAAAAGGGTGTAGCTTAGTGGTTTTATTTTTCTTCACATAGTTTTTCTTATTTCTGAAATATTTATATTTACACTAAATTCTATTTACATTGAAAGCCAATTTATGACCTTGCTGTCACTTCAAGTAAACCCAACCTAATGGCAGCCGCACTCCTTGGCCACCGCATTTTGGTATTTGGTCAGATCGATGTTGTCATCGTTGATGTACCTCAGAATGGTGATGGCCCCCAGAACTGTGGGCACGCAGCAGGGCTTGGGCAGATGCGGCTGCTTGAGATGCATCAGGGTTTGGACGATGGCGTGGTTAGTGGCATTCATTTTGGTGCCCAGCGGGAAGTTGCAGCCGCCGCCGCAGAAGTAAGCCTCAAACTTTTTCGGGGCAATCACCCAGTTGTGCATCTGCAGATCCTTGAAGTCGACGGTGAAATTGAGGCGCTCGCAGGACTGCGGTGGTCTGTACAAGTCCACTGGTAGTGGCGGCGGAGGAGGAGTCTGTGGTAGACCGCTTCTTCGCTTCTCCAGTTCCCTCTTGAAACGAAGCTTCTGTATTTTGACCAAGAGCTCTGGGCCATTGAAGTAGCCCACGATGAAGGGTTCCAAACTGGAGCGAGTGGCCTGCGGAGCCACCAGTCCGGCGGCGAACGTGCTCAGTTGGGAGTCGCCGATGGATATCCTTAACTCATTTCGCCGCGGCAAACCCTTACTGTTGGCCAACCACATCCTCAGAGTTTGTGTCAAATTGATTTCCAACCAGCCACGCTGATTGGATGTGGTGTTCACGGAGCCCAAGATGCGGTAGCTAAAATCCTGACGATTGTCCAGTTTTCGGTACACAGACACCGTGAAGTTCTCCCTGCTTTCGACCAAACTGGGCTGTTTGTATATCCTGAGCATGGCCTGAACCAAACTCAGATCCACTGGCACATCGTTGGCATTGAAGGTTATGTGCATGTCCAGCTCGTTGTCGAGTTCCTCGGCCTTAACTCGACTCGAAAAGGTTACGATGCTATTGCAACTGGCAATCTCCTGTCGATCCTCTTCGGAAATCAGTATGTCATCGTCCAGAGAGCGTTTGTGGCGTTGATGCAGAACTTCTTGGGGTTCCTGGTCCTCGCTAATCTCATTGTACACTTCCAGCAGGAATTTCGAAGCCGAATTGTGTATATTGGGCTGCGCCTGTCGTCTCGGTCGGTCACCCAAATCCAGGATATCAATCATCTCCATTTGTTCGCTCAAAGGGCGTTTCTGGTATATTGGCATCTCGATGTGGCTATTGGTGGTCAAATAGGATGTGCCATCCACAAGATATAGCAGGCTGGTTATTATGAAAAGGTTAAACATTTTCAGGATGTGTTCTTGTCAATTGCGAGATTGGTACTGATTTCCTTGCTCAAGGAACTGTTTCTTATATGGGAGGTCAGGTAGTAAATGGGAATACTTTAGGTAGTTACTAAAGCAGATGCATTCAAAGGGTTAAGAAACCAATTGGTATGGAAAGAGGTATTATAATCCTAGGTAGTTATAACCCACGGTTCAGGTAAAAGCTAATAATATAGCAGCTGCTCTGTACAATCTGTTTACAGGTAAACCACCAATAAGCACATGCATTTAAGAAACTTGAAAATTATAAAGATCTAAATAAATTAAATATTAATATTACATTTTCACCTCCTTTCTTCCAGGTTTCCTGCAAATAGAAAACAGTCGCGAGGAGGATCAGGGCAAATACGAATGTGTGGCCGAGAATTCGGTTGGCACTGAGCACTCGAAATCGACCAATTTGTATGTGAAAGTCCGTCGTGTTCCGCCCACTTTCTCCCGCCCACCAGAGACAATTAGCGAGGTGATGCTGGGCTCCAATCTGAATCTTTCCTGCATTGCCGTCGGCTCACCCATGCCACATGTCAAGTGGATGAAGGGTAGGTTATAATGATATAATGATTAAATCTAATAAATCTAAAATATAACATTTTATTGTAGGCTCTGAAGATCTAACTCCCGAGAATGAGATGCCAATCGGTCGAAATGTCCTGCAATTGATTAACATCCAAGAGAGCGCCAACTACACTTGCATAGCTGCCTCCACACTGGGCCAAATCGATTCGGTTTCGGTGGTTAAAGTGCAATGTAAGTTAAGATCATTATAAATATGAAATATTTTTATAAAATGTTTTTAAATCATTTATTAGCCCTGCCCACCGCACCCACCGATGTGCAAATCTCCGAGGTGACCGCCACTTCGGTGCGTCTGGAGTGGTCGTACAAGGGTCCCGAGGACTTGCAGTATTACGTGATCCAGTACAAGCCGAAGAACGCCAATCAGGCCTTCAGCGAGATAAGCGGCATCATCACCATGTACTATGTGGTCCGTGCCCTGAGTCCCTACACCGAGTACGAGTTCTACGTGATAGCGGTGAACAATATTGGACGTGGACCGCCTTCGGCTCCGGCGACTTGTACCACCGGTGAGACAAGTGAGTATCCCTACAGCTGCCCCTGTTTTTTGGAGGACATTTAACTAACTGCTGCCTTCTTTTCACATGCTGCACAAAAAGGATTTTTAACCAATTTCATTTTGAATTTAGAATACACTTAGATCCGTTTTTATTTTCCTTGGTCCATTATGTCGGCAATCGTACTAACCCTTCTTGAAAATGTCTATTCGTCCTTTCCCTCTCTCTTTTCTTCTCACATGCGTTTGCCCTCTCAGGCGATTTCTCATTCGGTGGCACAAGTAAGTATCCTTGGCAAACAAAATTTTATGGTTGGCCAAAAAATTGCCAAAACAATTTCAATAACAATTGTTGAGCAGCACAAAATCCGTAGTCGAAAAATGTGAAAAGGGTAAAATAGGAAAAGAAATGAAAAAGGAAGTAAAGAAAGCGGAATAACAAGTAGCTAGATAGAATCAAAGGTAAATGCAATGTTAAAAAATCGTTGCATACGCAGCTGCGATCCAGAGCCACGAATCCTGGCGCGCTATCCTGACGTATGTGAGTGGGTGGGGCATATCCTCAATCCTCTGTGCTCCATCCCCCGTCATCCCCCCCGAAACATCCCATAAAGTTTGCATTGTTATGCGTTCGTTTGGATGTTGGGTGCATGCAACGCTGTTTTAGCCCTGGCAATTCCCGCGTAAGCGTGCGCTTGTCTGACATGCCTTTCCGGTCACTTCTGCCTTTCCGGTGCCCTTTCTTAGGGTATGATAGCTTTTATCAACAGTTAGGAACCCTATATAATATATAATGCAGAAACAAAGATTAAAGAAAATATGTATACAAACAAATCTATATGAAATAGGGTAATTTCTACTTTATTTCATATGAATAAGAAGCCGATATGATTAATGTCAAATTTACGATTCAAACATATCAATTTGATATTTTATCATTTCATAAACGTTATAAAAACAATCTTTTAAAATACCAAACTTAGTATTTTTTAAACAAATATTGTAAAATAAGATTAACATACTCTTCAATCATATCAAAATGCTATGAATAACTTGATCTTTAAAAAATAATTAATTATTTTTATGCTAAAGTTACTGTTCTTTTTTTCTATAGAAAATATATGCTATTTACTGTTCTCCTTGATATCAAATAAACCCCTTAAAATAGGGTATTCCCTTATTCGTTCATTTCCATTTGCCACACAACAGCAGCAGCTGCATTTGCAGTTTCAGTAGCAGATCCAAAGAGCGTGTCGTACAAAAGTTGAAAACTTTTATTGCCGCAATTATGCTTATCGCTTGCCCAATATCGTTTCGAAATAATATTTCGATAGCAACGTTTATGGGCGGTTAAAGCTGGGCTCCTGGGCTGCTGGGCTCCGTTTTCCCGCAGGAGTGGCATCAGCAGGTCAACGCAATGCTTAACACGTGTCACTGGCTTAGGTAGCAGATGAGCCAAGTGGATAATCCTCAGCTTTCTTTATGGTTGGTAATATTGCACTACAAGGGAGATGAGTACATTAACTGAAAAGGGGGGCAAACCCAAGGTGATGTCATCCCAGGCATCTGTGTCCGAGAAAACAGATGCTAATACTCTTTTCACTCAATAGATATGAAAGTAAAATAATTCCGGAATATATTATAATGTATTCAGGTTTATTAAAAATTAAGTACAATATTTATTTATTTAATACTTTACCTCACTTTTGAAGGCCACATTTTTAAAGGTTTCATATTTAACATAGTCACTGGCAATAAAAAGAATAAATTTCCCCCAGTATTGACACCTTTTTAGTTAGTTGTATCGAATAGCTCGTTTTAAAGGCCCAACGAAGCAGTTAATTAGTAAAAGAAGCTCCTCCTGCATTCGGCCAACCTACTCATTAATGTTTGTGAAAACGTTTGAGGACGGAAACTGTTTTCGAGGGGCAGTAATCAAAACCCACATTTTAAGTGTTGGGGCTGAGGCGCCTTGAACAAGTCTTGAGCATATCCTTTCGTCAAGTAATCAGATATATGGCCCATGCACATGCTCCTGCCTCGAATCCTTGTGTGGGTGGAGATGGGCAAAGGATATGGGGGCTACGATTTAGTGCTATGTGCTGGTTCTATAAGGAGTAGGCGTGTGCGCAGGCATGCAAGGATACATATTAATGGAGCGTATCCGTATGTAATGTATATGCCCTTAAATGCAGCTTACGTGATGCTCTGCATCCTGCTCTGCTCCTCCACTCACACATCCACTTTCACAAGGGTTAAGAGGAAATTTTTGCCCGAATCTATTGGTGAATCGGTGTGTGCGAGCTGCATGCAAATCTTGGCTATAACAAGCAATGGACCAGGCCAACACACACACACACACCCATTGGGTAACAGATGAGATGACTGCGATATAAATTGTGGATAAAACTGCTGCTCTGCTGCACCGTTTGTGGATATTGCAGTAAAATTGTGAGAAATTGGAATTTATTGATTGGCCATTAACCAATCGGTTTACGAATCGCTTACGTACATACCTCCCCCCCATATCGCATCACACATAGAGAAAATTGAGTGACGGTGGAATGTACCACTAATTGCCATTCATGACGGGGGGGTATTTTTCCTTCTTTTGTTCGGGGTTTTTGGGGTGCCAGAAAATTCAGACACCGATGATTTCGCGGCTGACAATGCAGTTGACCGACAAATTTTCGGACCAATGCAAATGCATGACGAATAGCTGAAAGGGGGTGGGGCAGTCACACAGAAATCAGTTTATAAATGCAAAATTCTCGCTATAACAGCCGCTAGGCTTCAACGCGCCATAACAATTTCCTCAATTTTCCCGGAAATGCAGATCCCCCACTGCCCCTTTCCCATCTGAATCCATTCCTGCGACCATGAAACGACATGAAATACGCATCTCCAGCAGCAGAAGCCGAAACAGGAGCTAAAGCTACAACAACCGACCGTTCATTGGAAAAACAAATTGTGATGGATGGGGATTGTTTGCTTTGCAAAACATTTGCGATGCCCTAATGCCTCCCTCCCCTTTTTTTTGGCCTCACTAGTTTCTCGATAATGGCATTTGTTTGTCGTCCTGTGGAATTCGCCCCAGAAAATCATTTGGCAAACTTGCATATTTATGATTTCTGGCGGAGAAGAGAGTGCGGTGGGAAGCATATTTTAAAATCATTTATTATTTACAGCCAGCAGAAATTATAATTAAATACCAAAAAGATAAATTACTGCAGGTTTTATAAGCAGAACATATTATAATAATTAAGGAAATGCATTTAATAGTAATTATCAACTAAACTTGCTCAGTCCCTTTAATTTAGTGGGCCGAATAACCATAATTTCTCGTAAGCCGGTCTTTTCTGGGGTGCAATCCATTTTCGAAATTCGTTTAGCCTCTTGAATCACCACTGTGCTGAACTGTACTCAACTACCCATTGTTATATGCCCAATCTTTGCCAGGACAATGCTAATATTACCCATTTCCCCTCTGTTTCCTCCCCCTTTCGCCTGCAGAAATGGAAAGTGCACCACGTAATGTCCAAGTGCGCACGCTGAGCTCGTCCACGATGGTTATTACTTGGGAACCACCAGAGACGCCCAATGGACAAGTGACCGTAAGTACCTGGCATCAAGTGCGCATATTAAACGATAAGATCCGGAGCCCGGGCACACAGGGAGACCCGGAATAGGAATCGGAATGGGAATCCGCCACCCGAAGTCCGAAGGCTCCGACCACCAACGCACTTTGTCACGTCAGTCCGATGGAGTTGAGTGGAATGGAGGGGCCCGTCGAAGGGAAATTGGCAAAATGCCTTTGGCCATGTTCCGGGGGCACACGAATGAACGTTCGTATGCAAATCCTGGACACCTGTCCACAGGTCTCCATTCC